ACTAAAAAATGAAACTCATTTTTCCCATTATGTGCAGTTTTTGTGATATAGCTAACTGTAATAATAATAATAAACCCAATGCAAAATATAACTGCAAAACGAAAAGCTCTTAACTGAGTTTTAAAGTGTTTTCAAACATTTAGGTCATTTTTACAGAGCTCATTACTAAAAAACATTCTTTGATAGATGAAAAGTGCTTCATACAATATTTTCTATCGATATATTTTCTATCTATTCTTCATACAATATTTCTTCATACAATTTTTCTTGCACATTCTTCATTAATTTAACACCTTCACTGAAACGTTGTCCTTGTTTATCACAAACTGTTTTCATGTTACTGGGAAAAATTTAGATGCAAGTGTAGAAAAAGGGATTTTACAGCATATATATGAGACAGCATATTTTCTTAGTATTTACACTTACCACCTAATGCAGTTGTCTTAAAATGCTTGATCTAAAAGTAGCTGACGGGAAGGAAATTGCCGAAGTACAGAAATTTTTTTAAACAAATAAATAAATTTTAAATTTCACTTACTGAATATTTATCCAAACATACATAAACAATGATGATAACAACACAAAGGGAAAAAAATTAAATTTATATTTATTTTCTATTTGACGTCAAAATGTTGGTACCTGCAAGAAATTTCTATTAGTTATACTTCGTAATTCAAACGTATCGACGGCTAAATATAAAATTTTAGACTGGCATTTCTATCAGATAATTTCAATACGTTGAATTAACCACTAAATAATTTACTTTTAACCTTAACCGGAAATTTCAAGCGAAGCGCCACTATCTGTCAGATGTTGAGCTAACTTCCCTCTGAGCGGCCAGGGGTTTTGCTAAGAAAGCACAAACTTCCCAAAATTATTATGAGAAAAAAAAATTTTTTTTTATTTTAATGTAAAAACTCTCCTGGTATTTCATATGTGAATTTGTTTTCTTTTCATATATTGCCTTAATTTCTTTGACATATTTTAAATATGCACGTATATATACGTTCTTACAGATATCACAAAAAATATTCTAGGCCGTATATATATATACGGCCTTGCCGCTTAGAGGGTTTTAAGTTAGTATACCAACGTGGGATATTGTCTCACATTACAAACAATTACGAACAAGCACACATTACGAACAAGCACACAGAGACAAAGCCCCAAACTTATTCGTTCTACCGTTTTCCTTCAATAGCAGTTACGCACCTATCTCTGCGTCTCTAAATGTATAAGCACCGTATTTGCAACAAATGTATAATTAAAATGTAATCACGGGCCGTATAAATTCGATTATAGGACTGCATGCGGCCAGTGAGCCGCCAGTTTGAAATCACTGACCTAATGGACCTAAATCTTATTCTCATCACCAAATGGACTCCGAAGTACATTACGTATTTTTCTTAATCTGTTGTACTTACGCCACTACTATTTAAGAATGAACGATTCATACACATAACAAAATGTTTCAATGATTTTTGAAGCTAATAAGTTAATGTGGTATTTCATAATCAATCTTTATGAAAGAAAACGAATTAGGCGTTTTCTTCATGCAACCTAAAAACAAAATCGAAAATTCAGTAAAAATTGTGCTTCCAAAAAACATTATGTATAAAAAAATAATTGTAACATATAAAAGCAAAATAATCTTTTAACTATTAAATAAAATTAGGTAACAAATCAATAATGTAATAAATAAATAGCAAAAAGAGAAATCGAAATAAAACAAAAAAGTTTATAATTTCTAGAGTAAATGTATAAAGCACAAAACAGCTTCATTTATCTAGCATTTTATTTTAATTTCACATAATAACGCGAAATTAAACCTGCACTCAGTCTTAGCATCATTCTCACGTCTGCGGTTATAATAGCAAATTGACAAACGCTTTGGTTACTTAACTTTGACAACAATATTCTGCTTACTGCTTTGGATAATCAGTCGATGTTTCGTTTAATACATACTTGGTAATAATACACAGATCCACAGTTTTTGATTATTGAAAGCTTTTTAATTAACAATAAGCTTTAATATCGTAAAACACAAGTCACTTTTGGGGGGATTTTAATTTGTAAGCAAAATTAAAAGTGTTCCTTCAAGGCTTTATCAATTTTACTTTCATTATTCGGCCTGGTTTATTTGGGGAGGAGGAGCGAGAGACACTAAGTAGCGTTGTTCCCAATGGAATATGAACGTTGTTTTCAGCAGATTATAAAACAGAGTTGTCAACCTGAATTAACAAAACAGCCGCATTAATTAATTTTTCAATTTGCTACGCTAAAATTCCGCCATATCCCCCCCCCCGAAAAAAAAGGCTCTATTTTGCAAGGCGATAAAATTCGAAAAATATATTCAGTGCGGGAAATAGAAGTTTCTTTCTTTTTTTCTTTTCTTTTTTTTTCCCCCGGGTGGGTGTTTTTTATTGTTTAGTTGTTGTTTTGTTTTGTTTTGTTTTCGTTTTTTGTTTTTTTGTTTTTGGATATTTTTAATGATTTTAAATTATTAATGATAAGTCAAAGGAAGACATCATTATTTAATATCGATTCAAAATGAGAAACAATAAAAAAAAATCGTAGCACTCGTAAGCTGAATTAAGCTTCTTCAAATACCAGTTCTCATTTGAGGTTGCAGGAATAAAGGAGATATATGAAGAATATTATATGCAGAAGATGGACTAACATTCTTAAATCGCCGATTAAGAGCCATGAACGTGCACTAAAGCTACTTATCGGCCATCAGTTCGAGACTGGTAAAAGTTTGACAAGATGGTTACTGCTGGCATATAAATTGCAGCTGCATAAAAGTCACCACCAAACGTACGATCAGGTTTTTGTTTATACGGTTGTTTAGTAGATACAATACAGCACGCAAAGGATACCTATCTAAAGGAAGGAATGCATTCGTAGAGGGCTCTTTAAAAGAAATTAGAGCCCACCAGCGGCCGAGCGGTAAAGACGCTGACACCGGTAGTCGGTCGGGTTCGATCCGCGAACGGGTGGTGCATGGGTGTTTTGTGGTTTTCCCGGTGGAACGTGTACGAGCCAGTTTCCCTTAGAAGTCCTCCTAAGCATCCCCTTAGGAGTAGCCCTCGAGGCTTTGCCGTAATTAAATAACTAAACCTAACCTTAAAAGAAATTATATCATACTCCTATTATAACATGATAAAAATCGCGAAAGTGACCACGCAACCAGTCAGCTAAGATTCCAACAAAGATCGAACTAGCATCCTAAGATATCGCTTTTCTATTTTACTTGATACCCAAATAACTGTCGATAGCTTCTGGATAAGCATAACACGCATCCACAGTTTTCAGCAGTTCGGGTTTTTACAGATGAGACATGTTTTTCTTCAAAGCGTTTTGTTTAATATCTGTAACAGCCACCTATAGTGGCTTTGAGGCACACATGCAAGAAGCTGTCATCGGTGTTTGTCCAAAAACATTTGGATATTTTATTGAATTCATATCTTCTATCCCACGATTGGATGCACAAAAATGCCGATAATTTTTTTCAAATAGCTACGGTTAATTTTAAGTTATAACTCATGCTTACCCGATAACAAAGTTTTCCAAAGTAAGTCATAAAGCATTTATTTTTCCTTGAAAACAGACGTCTTAATTTTCAAATAAAGTTCACCAGCAACGAGCAGTAAAATCGCTGAGCGCTGGTAATTCGATCCGAGTTCAAATCCCGGCGAAGAAGCTGGCTGCATGGACGTTTTCGTTGTTTTCGCCATGTGTAACGTGGATTCGAGCTAATTTCTCTTAGAAAGTCCTCTCCGATGGCATCTCTTCCCTTAGGCAGATAGCTCTCTTGTGCTTTGTCGTAATGTGACAAACTAAATCTGAGTTCTCAATGAATCTTTACTTAAACTAATATAATTATTTGCCATTAAAAATGCTGTTTTTTTCTGTAATGGTGAAAAGAGATAACAGCATTCAGCAAATTAACTTATAACGAATCACGGCATTCTCCCATGCGTATTCTCGTGTCATAACCGGCAGCATGTCCAACTACAGCAATCGGAAAATCCATGGTTCGAATCCTGACGAGGCCATAATAGATTTTTCACCTTTTTCGCGCCGAAAACCCAACAGCTTTAAAGCACACATATGATTTCCTCGTATTTTTCAGATCAAACCAAAAAGACGGAAATCACAAAATTTTCCGTTTTACTCTTTCACACACAGCCACAAAAACAATCTAAAAGTCAAAGAGCCCTTCATACGGTTTTTGTGTAGAAATACACGCTTGTATGGTAATGTCACAACCAATATTTCTACATGATGGGCAAAATGTGCCCCCCCCCAAATGGAAAGAAGTCAAGGAGTATTCTGTTTTAATATCTTTATAATGAAGCTGTATGTCAAAAAACTCTCATATTTTGTGTTAGAATGTCAAAACTTATTACCATTAAAATGTTTCAATACAAATTACGGAATATTTTACACAGTTTTACACTGGTTTTGAATTTAGAAATAATATGCATATACCTCAACATAAAAATATCAACCGCTTGGCTTGAGGTTGGTTGAATTTAATGCCAAGAAAAATTTCTATAAAATATGTTCTCACATTATTTTCTTACAACTACTCCTGACTTGTACTCAACGTATAAAAATACACACCGTAAACTAACGTAAAACTCAACGTATAAAAATACACATATGTTCAATAAATGCCTCCAATCCCTTTGTAGAATCATTAGGTTATTGCGAAGCAGGAGCCATGAAAAATGTGCACTGGCCTCGCCGGGACTCGAACCCTGGACCTCTCGAATACGCGTCGAGTATGCTTCCAATTACACCACGAAGGCAAGCGGAAAGGAGGGAGAAAATAGTTTATATTCTCCCCCCTTTAATGGGCGACTGGGGATTAGAGAACCCAATCGCCAAATCTGGTGCTGACGAATTATCGCCCACCATCTTTTAGCTCGGGCGCCATGCCATTTACAGAATTATTAGGTTCTTTTGAAGCCGGAGACATGACATATATACAATGCCCTCGCAAGGCCTCGAACCCTGGACCTCTCGAATGCGAATCGAGTATGCTTCCAATTACACCACGAAGGTATGAGGAAAGGAGGGAGAAAATACCTTATACCTTTCTTAAATTAATTAAAATGTTATTGTAATCAAATATTATGCATAAAAGAAGAAGCGGTTTATCAGCTCGTGAAAGTTGCGATCTCAAAGGTCCTACAAATTACCAATTAATTTTTAAAAAGAATTTAAGTCTTAAAATATAAGGTATATGTCTTTTAAAAATTAATTTTTAAAAGACATATACCTTATATCTTAAGACAAAAGGTGCTAAAAGTTTGAGTGAGAAAAAGACTCCCGATTCGTAAATTCGCCTCTCGACAAAAGATTCGTGAAAACACATATTATTTAAAATTAGAAACAACTAGAAAAGCAAGTGCATAATATGTAAAGAAAAAATGCAACCTTCCCACAGCATAAAGAAATGAAAACTAGATTAAAAAGAAAATTATAGGAAGAGGTATATAACAAGCAGGTTAAACGAGTAACATCCTCTAAAAATTCATTTCTTTTTTTTTCAGAGATCGAGACAGTTCCAACAGCAACACTTTTGTCACGCATCAGATGCTTCCTTTGAAAGCTTAGACAAAATACAATAGACTACATCATCTACCAAAGTAACTTCCTAAGTATTTTTTTTTAACAGATAACAATCATCATTCATTACTTTTTTCATAGCTATGAGTCATCTCGCTGAAAAGTATTTAACAATCAAGTATTCGAAAGAAAACGGAAAAACCAAGAAGAATTTTAAACTCGTAAATTTAAATAAAATTGTATAGTGCATATAAAGTTCTGAAAGGAATAAATGCATAGCCACTTCGTGTTCAATAAACACTACACTAAAAATTAATTTAAATTAAAGGGATTCCATTGTTTCATGATCATACTCAAATTTATCACATCATAGCACAATAGTACATAATTAGCTTTTATGGTTACATTTTGATTACATCTGTTGCATTTAAAAAAAATAGCCAGATAATCTATCAAAAATGTATTTTTAAACAATATCACATTAACTAAAAAATTATACATTCTGGAATCTCGAAATATTTCAGTATTTTCATAATACAGCTAAAGATACAGTTACAACAGTTCTCTTATATCTTAGATAACAAGGATTACGCATATTACATTTATGGCAAAGTGCGAGAGGACCACCAGCCTATAAAAAGAGAAGCCTTCATGGAGAACTTCCTAAGGTAAAATTGGCTTGTATTTATTACACATGGGGAGAACTATGAATACCACACAGCCAGCCTTTTTCAGTCGACAAAACAGAACTTGGGCCTATCTACTAATAACTCACGATTTCTTTTACTCAGCCACTGGTAAACAGGTTTTGGTTTGGTTTGGTTTGGTTTGGTTTGGTTTTAATAGATTACGGCAAAGCACTCGAGGGCTATCTGCCTTAAGGGAGGGATGCCTTCGTGGAGGACTTTCTAAGGGAAACTGGCTCATATACACTTTACACATGGCACTGGTAAACAGGAATGTCGCATTATAAAACAAGTCAAATAGGTTTCTAAGACTTAAATACATGCACTAAGCAGTAGCAAAAAAAGGTTATGAACTACTCTCAGAAAAATCAGTAATAAAATGAAATGAATATCTTAATCCCCATTCCCCACTCAAGTGATAAGGTGACTCAAAATAAGTCTGATAAATCAAGACGAAGTACACATGAAAAGACAAAGATGCATATTTATTTAAGATGCCTTGCATATTTATCTCCTGCATATATGTTTAATAACACACAATAAGCATAGCTACCATAAAGCACTTACAGATATGAACGACAATCGTTCAACTCAGGATTTTTAACATAATATCCGTAATATGATTTAGATGCTTTAAACTTTTTATACACATTCTTGTAATTGCTTTTTAAGTTTCCTTAAAATTCATTTGAAGAAATTTAAATACATAAAAATTTATTTTGAACAGATTTAAACAAAATTATATCTAGTGAGTGATGTCTTTTACTCTACAACAAATTTTCATTTGAAGGACAACAGAAAAATGCGAAATGTCTAAATGTAGTTGTGCACCTCCCTTTTTGGTGCAATCGAAAGTATCTAAATATATATATATATGTATATACTCACTATGTTACTCGGCTCCGTGAGCTCAGTTTTTTAGTGCACTGAATGTAATTTTCATTGTAATATATTAAAGTACTGGTAAATTATCAAAGATTCTACGATCTAGACATATTTATAGAATATAGGTCTGTGATTTTATTTGCATCTATCAAATTAACTTCAGTTTAAAAATATTCACTAAAACTAATTAAGCCGCCCAGCCGGTATGGTGGTTAGCGTCGCTGACTGTCGTGCCGAAAGGCCCGGGTTCGAATCCCAGAGAAGGCATGGATGTTTGTAAATGTATAGTGTCGGTGCGGCATGGCGGGCACTCTAAATGTGCGGCGAGCCGAATGTCCTCTCGCGTGGTTTGGTGGAAGGAGATCTCCATCAAAATTGGGGGCGGAACTGACCCAAATCGCACTGTTAGGTGCTCAAGGGCTGTTGCCAACAACAGGCGTAATCTAGCACTCCTTGCACGAGGAATTTCCGTGGGCTTGGACTGACTACGTCAGACAAGTGAGCATAAGCAACAACAAAAAAACTAATCAAACTACATGTGAAAATAACTTCATACATATTACATTAAAACGTTTGTACATAAATTACATTCGGCAGTGACTTTTCCATCTGCTTCCTTTTAAAAAGGCAATCTATTGGTTAAATCAGCGGGAACTTTGAATAATATATTTCTTGTCTTAAGCTGCTTAACTAAAAAAAAGGCAATTAATTTACACCACCTTTTTAAATGAAAAACAGAACGAAATGATTCAATGCGTGCGTAATATTTTGCGTTAGTAGCATCTTTCATGAATTTACTATAAATGTTGCAAATGTTAGTAAAAATTATGATCTGAATGTATTATAAATTAAATACATTATTGATTATAACAATTAGATAAACTACTAAAAAAATAAAGATTCAAATTACAAAGAAGTGCATTTATTGCTTTTAAATCCACCAGTTCGAGCAGTTACAGACACATTAAATTTGAAAAATAAACTAAAGACCTTATGCTTTGCAGAAAGGAAATACTCTGAAAACTAGCAACTGGTGAGTTACGTGGGAAATAAACTACACCTGCTAATCAGCGTGAATAATTTTAATGCATGGATACACAACGAAATGAATGTAACAATGTAATGGTCTAAAATTTTTAAAAAGTCTTGTAGAGACATTAGGTATTTTTTGGAAGCAGGCAAGATGAAAAAAGAGTAATCGCCTTTGCCGGGGATCGAACTACGGACCTCTGGAATACCGGCCCAGCGTGCAGAACCACTACACCACGAAGGCACGCTAGGAAGGCCGGAAAAATACCTTATAGTCTTTGCTGAGGACCTTTACATTTCTCACAAGAAAAATCACAAAAAAATTTCGGAGGGGAAAATGCTTTTTCTTTTTTTTTTTTTTTTTTTTTTTTTTTTTTTTTTTTTTTAAGATATTCCACTTTTAGGTAACTTAAATGCTTTTTGTTCATTCAATGTCCTAATTTTCTGGAGAGGTCGGAAAAAAATCTAAGACACTTGGTGTGGCGTAATCATCTCCATCATCCACTACTTGAATAAATTATGGGTTACACTTCATACCTTTATAACAGGCTCTTTCAAATGCACTTTTAGTGTTCCTTTACCATGCACAGACCCGTCGTTTTGTAACCACCCCCTTCGCATTTCGTTCTATCTCTAGCGTGATGAGCAAAAATAAATATAAATGCATTGAAGTGTGCGCAAAAGTTCTTAAAATGGAAAACTAGGTGGGAGAAAAACTTGAAGGTCGGATTCTTTTAATGATTCAGACCAGCGTTGCAGAATAGAACTACTGTGTTTGTCATATATGTAGAGTCAAAGTTTCAAATAACTACATGAAAACATTGATAAAAGACATTGAATACTTTATACATAAAAAATAAACTACACACTGTTTTATTTAATATTCATGTTTGTAGTACATATACATTAGACAATATGATTTCAAACAAATATTTTCGTTCAAAATGTCAAAGCGCTTTTATTATTGTAGTCAGTTCGGAGAAACATCAACTACAGAAAGCAGCGCTTCAAAATATATTTCGAGCTGCTTGGTTAATTGATTGAACAAAAGCAAGCGAAAGCTCGTTGGTTAATTGATTGAACAAAGCGCCTCGTGGAATGTATACTTTCATGGAAGATTTTCTTACCGGCCGAAAAATAAATACATAAATAAAATAATATAAAAAATCTCTCCCCTCTTCCTTTACAAAGTTCAGGAATATAGAATACAATACTCAATAAAAGGAAACAGGTGTGCCGTAAATGCGATTTTCCTCTCGTCTTATCTAGAGTCCTGCATGTTACTTTCAAAGATCAACTGACCATCACCAATGACAAAACATTGATTGACATTGTATTAATATTAACCATAATCACAATTTCAGCCCTAGATTATTTGTGGGAGGTTAGTATTTTTCTGTCTGACCTAACCAATAAGTGAAGCCTCAGTGTTGCCATGTCTACATATCACCTTGCTAGATTTACACTGATGATCTAAAATCGGGAAATTTCCGAAATCGCCCAAGTTCGGACGATTCCGGATCTCGGACTCTGCACCGTATATGGGAGTTTATTTCGAGAGGAAATGAAACTCTAAGTTCGGGATTTTAATGCTAAAACTTAATGAATAGCCCAATTTGAAAGATGCATGGAAATTATTAGTACTTTAGGTAACTACATTGATGTTAAAAAAAAAATTTGTTCTAACGCAATTTTCGAAAATTGAATTCCACACTAGGTTTATGCGAAATTTTAATTTTCCCCCTCCATAAATTAATAGTGCAGTAAAACAGTGCAACAGTTTTTTAAAAAATCCAAAATTTCGCAAATGAACAAGTATGAAAACTGTTACAATACTCTTCTCGCATAATTTATAAATTATATATACATCAAATAGCTGCAACGTAACACAGT